ATCTAGGTATTTTTTTTTATTTTTTTAATATTTATTTATCTTTTTTTTTTTTTTTTTTTTTTACAAACTTTTTTTTTCTCTCTGACAGGAGTTCGAGAGATACAATGTATCTCTCTTCTCCATTCATAGAGAGAGAGAGAAAAAAAAAAACAAGGGGGCCGGGCTGCACAGTGACTGATCACTGTGATAGCCAATCAGAGGCTATCACAGCGATCATGTGACCCGGGACCAGGAGTCCCGGGTCCCGATCGTTAGAACGGGACCCGGTGCTCTCAGTGACACCGCGGTCTCGGTGCTGGGAGCGCGCTGAGGGGCGCGCTCCCAACACAAAGACAGGTACGCAAATATGCGGCCCCACGGAAAAAAGCCCAGGTCCGTGAGGCCGCATATTTGTGTTACGTCGGCGTCAAGGGGTTAAGAGTGTTCACAACTGAAGATAATGATGGGTCCACCTTCGGTTTCCAAGCTCTAGACAATGTCAGACTTGCAGCGATCAAGGAACACAAATAAAATCAACACTGGGTCCGGAGAGCAGGATGTAAGGGTAATGACATTTTTTTAATTTTTAAGAGAACCTGTATCATAAAAAAGGCACATTTAAGAAAGCCTGTAAAGAAGAGACTGAATACTTCCACCCTCATGGCAGATTCATTACAGAGAACTGTTTTCCAATGTTGGGAGACCAATACGTCTAAGAAAGTATATGTGGTCCCCTGCAGCTCTCTCTTGTTCCTCACACTCTGACCTCAGGTCTCTACTGTATCCAACATCACATTTCTCTGCAAGGGAGAAGTGCTAAGAGGTGCAGGTGGCAGTACAATAAAGTGTTCAGCTTCTTCTTTACATGACTAAAGGATTTGCCAACTTCAGTCCTTAAACCTTTAATATTGACACCAAACTGTGTGACATTGATTTAAATGACCACAGCAACCCTTTTATTAACAAATGAATTAATAACATAACTTAAAACAATCTTAAACAATGAAAAATTTTCAATGTAACTAGGAGGGGGTCTTTGGGTGTCCCCAAGGCACACTTTATGACTAAAATTGCCCATGTCCTAAGCCGAACCCCAACCAGTTCAAAGACATTACAACTCACACACTTAGATTTTCCCCCAGGGGACCTAGTTACTGTGAGAACCACCAGTAACCACAAAGTGGGAGCACCACACCCTAGATGGGCCCCAAATTTTAACAAATATTGTTAATCACTGACCCCCCAAAAGACCCGCCATGAGATTCTGAGTGACACCTCACTCGAGTCCCTTCACATCCGCAGAGCCCTCCTGTATGCCCAAAGACCAGACAGCTGTGCCTATGGCATTCAAGTTAACACCATCGTCCCTCCAGTAGTGGACAGTCTGATCCTCCAATTCCAGATGCCGGACCACAATACCCCCAATGTGGGACACAAACTTTCCTATCTCCCTGTTGACCTTAATCCGGGCTTTATTCAGATACTCCACAACGCGTGCAGGAACTCCCACATCAAATGTAAAACATCAGGGGGCCTATCAACTCTGGAATAATAATGGAATTCAGGCAAAACATGGGCCCACATCATGCCCCTAATACCCAACCATTTCAAGACAGCCTTGCTCCATGGAACGCTAAGTTGTCTCCCTTCAGGCCACACATCTGCTTGGATTGCCCCCCAAAAAACATAAGTCTCCCAAGATCCAAACAAGGCCCTGAGGGAAGCCTGCAACAACAAAAAAAAAAAAAGACAAAAACAGAAAACAGAGAACCCAAAGGAAGAAAAAAAAATCAGAGAAACAGACAAAGAACAATGAACAACATGGGCGGACATAAATTTTGAAATGGTCTGACTCCCACCTCCCAATACGTTTTACAACCTGAGGACTCAAACCCCTGCGAGCCAACTCTGTAGCTGCCCCCACTGGGAAGGAATGAGTGTTAAACTGTGCAACATTTTTGCCTGTCTCAGCCAGGCAACACTTGAAAACTGCCACAAACTGAAAGCGTGAAAATGAAGAGCCATCCAGATGTTGCAACAGAGGCCCCTGCATGGTCCCCCTAACCTCCATTAAGCACCGCACAGCAAGAACTGGGGCACAATGACTCCGGAAGAACTTTGAATAATGTCACAGCCTCAAAGTACACAACAAAACCAAGCAAACCTTGGAATCTGGGGGGACGATACAAACAAAATCAAGGTAATGAAAAAACGAGCGTACCTGCGATTCCTCTTGCACCACCCATTCCAGAAAAGGTACTGAATGTCTCGAAATAGGAGCAAGAGAGACTGAACAGCCCATTTGGAGACAGTGATCAATAAAAAAACTGCACATCCCAAACTCAACCTAGCAAAGGCTGGCTCTCCAGATGCACTGGCAACAGTCGAAAAGTGGATTCGATATCCGTCTTCGCCAGCAAAGCCCCCCGGCCATAACGCTGAACCCAACTGACTGCTGAATCAAAAGATGTGTAAGACACCGAAGTCAAGTCAGGCGCAATCACATCATTCACTGAAGCTCCCTTCAGGTACGACAAATGATGTATCAGCTGAAATTTGTTTGGTTCCTTTTTAGGAAACACCCCCAATGGGGACACATGCAAAAAAAGGAATGGGTGGGGGTGGTTGATCGAACGGGCCGGCCATCCTGTCCATTTCAACCTCAAACTGAAATGGCGTTTTTAAATTCTTAGGTAACAAAGGGTGAGCCATAGGCAAAGAGCAAGGAATGTGAAAGCCATTGGCAAAGCCATCGACAAGGAAAGCCGGCACCTCCCTCCAGGGATATCTACTTTGATATGGCAGCATTGCAGGAAGGTTTACTGGCGCCCTCTCCTTTGTGGACTTACTGGATTGGGGCCTTCCCTTCTTAAAGCATCTGCCATAACCGTGTGAGCCCCACAACCAGAACACTTGTGGCAGAAACGCCAGGTTGCGCCAAAACAGCATGTTCCCTCGTTGAACTGCCAACAATAGCTTTTTTAATGTGCGAGCAACTGTCCGGCGGCACCCAAGCTGCAGACCCCACCAAGAAAGGGTTGTCCCGGAACCCTTGACTGCACCATGAGTTTCATCCAAAGCCCAATATTGTTATGATCCCAATGCAGGTGAGGCTGCATGTCCTTACTCTGATGGAACTGCTCCTCATAGCGAAGCCAAGCAGTACCACCGTAGACCATATGTGCCTTCCCAATAGTGTCCATGTAGCAAAAAACTGTTCTCTGGGGCCTTCTCACCAATGATGCTTGCTAAGATGGTAAAGGCCTGGAGTCAACTGGTAAAAGTGCGAAGAATAAGCCACCAGGGATGTTTCTCCTCTTCCTTTTTCTTGCCATCATCTGCCTTCCCTTTCTCAATATTAAACTTTTTCAAGGGCAAGAGGGAGAATATCTCCACCTATTTACCCCACAAAAACTTTTTCCTGATATCTTGCTTGAGATGAACCCCCCAAAAGTGTCCTTAAAGCACACAGACATCTCACATTTTGCTGAATCAGCCAACTGAACACCATTGTCCCCTGACTCCTTACCCTTGTGAGTCAGAGCAATTACCTGCTCAGTCTGGGATGTCGACTCAGCTATGGCAGTGGAAGGCAGAGAGCCCACAGCAACCTCTTTCCACCCACGATCACCAGTCTGCACCATGGTGCAAATCACTGCTGCTGACCGCCTGAAGCAGATGTCTGAGGGGCCCATGCCTTCACGGGCTCAGAGGGTTCGGGTTGGGGCAAGGTTCGAACAGTTCCCTAAAACCAGCCAAAAAATCCGCTAAATCCGACCCACCATCAGAGGTACCAACCGCAAGACCTGAACTAAGCGGCAAATCCCAGGGCTCCAAAACAACCTGCAGCCCCACCACTTCACCAAGAACCCCATCCTGACCTCTTGAGCCAACTACCTCACTCTGCATGGGAGAAGAAGTAAATGAAAAAAAAAAAGTCTTATCAGGCTGCCTCTGCGTCACACTGCGATCAGTCGCATGTCCGGAACCCAGGAGACTCAGCAGGGCAGAACGCACACCTTCAGACTGCCCATCACTGGAGATCTCCCCAGGTACGCAGGAAGACTTCCATGGAGGTGGCATCGCTGGTGCCTTGAGTGCTTGAGACTCCAGCTCAGGGTGCTCCAAAGCTTCCCCGTGCACCCCCGCCACAGAGGTAAAGGATGGCGAGCTGCGGGGTCCCCGTGCACCCCCAGCCATTGAAGGTCAGCAACCCTTTAAGGAGGCGGGACCACTCCCCTGTGACGCTGTCACTGGTCTCTGAACTGGAAGGCTGCAGCAGTGCTAGAGAACCATTAGAGGGCGCCCGTTCCCCTCTGCTGTACGCAGCTGCTCTGTTCACGTTGAGCTCCTCACAGCCACAGATGAAGAAGCTGATAGCTGCGGATACCTGGAGAGCCGCTCGGACTGGGGGACGGACGGCGCACCGGACACCCGGAGAGCCGCTCGGACTGGGGGACGGACGGCGCACCGGACACCCGGAGAGCCGCTCGGACTGGGGGACGGACGGCGCACCGGACACCTGTAGAGCCGCTCGGACTGGGGGATGGACGGCTCTCCGGACACCTGTAGAGCCGCTCGGACTGGGGGACGGACTGCGCTCCGGACACCTGGGGCGCCGCTCGGACTGGGCATGACACTAAAGGGTCCCCAAGTGGGTCTCCTGTGTGGACGCCAGACCCTGGGGGTGTGAGAGGGGCTCAGGGGGACGAATCCTACTAGCATGTGTAGACAAGGGGGAGAATCCGACAGATTGCCCCCAGACCCCCCCTAGCATGCCCATCAACTACTGCAGAGCCACTGACCAGGGGCGGACTGACAACTCATGCGGCCCCCGCGCAATAGGGGATCATGGGGCCCCTGTGTCCTTGCCCCAACTTAAAAAAGCCTATGAAAAAGGTACCAGGGGCATCTCATGGGGCCCCCTACTGACCCCGGGCCGTGCCGAGTTTCCAAATGGTCAGTCCGCCCCTGCCTGTACCTACGGCTCTAACCTGCTGCAACAAGGCTGCCGCCTCCAGGTCACTCATTCCAAATCTTTCTCTCCGCAGGGGAACAGCAGGGAGAAGTCTCCTCCTGACCTGAACTTTCGGGAGTGAATACCCAGCAACCCTTGCAATGGACCAGCAACCCAGCCCATCTGACCCTCAGCGTCCAGTCCGGTAAGGACTACTGCCCCCGTGACACCCTGTTATATGCTATAGGGTGGAGGGGAAGCGGTTAAACACAAAACGTTGTGTTTTTGGTTCTATAAACTTCAGTGGAAATGCTGCAGAAAAGCATGTAATGCATTTTTTGTGGTGTTTTGCATTTTAAAGTTCCTAGTAACAAGGGAAAAAAAAACCGCGTCAAACGCATTTGCAATAACCGCACTGCAGAAACAGCTGAAACGCAAACTGCATAGGTGTGAACCAAGCCTTAGTCATGCCAACCCTGCATCCATTTTTCTTCTCTGGGTCGCACTGGTATGTGCTTTTTTAACCACTTGCCCACCATGCACTTTTACCCCCTTCCTGCCCAGACCAATTTTAACCACTTGAGCCCCAGAGGATTTACCCCCCTTAATGACCAGGCCTTTTTTTGCTGTTTGGCGCTGCACTAATTCAAATGATAATTGCGCGGGTCAAGCAATGCTGTACCCAAACAAAATTTACGTCCTTTTTTTCACACAAATAGAGCTTTCTTTTGGTATTTTATCACCTGTGCGCTTTTGATTTTTTGCGCTATAAACAAAACACGAAAATTTTGAAAAAAAACAATATTTTCTACTATCAGCTATAAAAAATATATAGTAAACTCAAAGTTAGTTATAAATTTAGGCCAAAATGTATTCTGCTACATGTTTTTGGTAAAAAAAAATCCCAATAAGTGTATATTGATTGTTTTGTGTGCATGTTATAGCGTCTACAAACTATGGTATAGATCAGGGGTGGGCAAACTTTTTGACTTGAGGGCCGCAATGGGTTCATATATTGGACCCGGGGCCGGACCAAGAGTAGATGAATGATGTGTATGTGTCATCCATAGTAAGTATAGTAATATTCCCCCATAGTAAGCATAGTAATTAATCCCCCATAGTAATTAATCCCCCATATAGTAATTCATCCCCCATAGTAATTCGTCCCCCATATAGTAATTCGTCCCCCATATAGTAATTCGTCCCCCATAGTAATTCATCCCCCCTATAGTAATTCATCCCCCATAGTAATTCATCCCCCATATAGTAATTCATCCCCCATAGTAATTCATCCCCCACATAGTAATTCATCCCCCACATAGTAATTCATCCCCCATATTAATTCTCCCCCATATTAATTCATCCCCCATATTAATTCATCCCCCATATAGTAATTCATCCCCCATATAGTAAGTCCTCCATATAGTAATTCATTCCCCATATAGTAAGTCCTCCATATAGTAATTCATTCCCCATATAGTAAGTCCCCCATATAGTAATTCATTCCCCATATAGTAAGTCCCCCATATAGTAATTCATTCCCCATATAGTAAGTCTTCCATATAGTAATTAATTCCCCATATAGTAAGTCCCCCATATAGTAATTCATCCCCATATAGTAAGTCCTCCATATAGTAATTCATTCCCCATATAGTAAGTCCTCCATATAGTAATTCATTCCCCATATAGTAAGTCCCCCATATAGTAATTCATTCCCCATATAGTAAGTCCTCCATATAGTAATTAATTCCCCATATAGTAAGTCCCCCCATATAGTAATTCATTCCCCATATAGTAAGTCCCCCCTATAGTAATTCATCCCCCCATATAGTAAGTCCCCCATATAGTAATCCCCCCCCTGTGTCAATTCACTTACCTTTGGTCCGCGCGTTCCTCTCGTATTCCCGCGCCGTTCTGGTCTTCAGGGAGGACTGTGAGAGGAGTTCGTCACGCTGCCCCGCCTACATCCTGGCTGCCCCGCCTACATCCTGACAGCTGCAGAGTCCTGACGTCCGAGAGGAGGGAGGGGGGCGGCCATCCGAGAGGGGGGGCGGCCATCCGAGAGGAGAGGAGGGGAGAGGAGGGAGGGGAGCGGGCGCCCGGCACACAGGAGAGCCGCATCTAAATTTGTAAAGAGCCGCGGCTTGCCGACCACTGGCCTTGCGGGAGCCTAGCTCCGCGGGCCGGATTAAAAGGTCCGCCGGGCCGTATACGGCCCGCGGGCCGTAGTTTGCCCATTGCTGGTATAGATACTGTAATGTATGCCTTTTTTTTGCTATACAGCTCTGCACTAATTCAATGATAATTGCGCGGTCATGGAATGCTGTACCCAAACGAAATTTACGTCCTTTTTTTTTCACACAAATAGAGCTTTCTTTGGGTGGTATTTTATCACCTGTGCGCTTTTTATTTTTTGCGCTATAAACAAAAAAAAACACATTTTGAAAAAAAAACCCAAATATTTTCTACTTTCAGCTATAAAAAATATATTGTAAACACAAAGTTAGGGGGGGGGGGCGTTCAAGGGGTTAAACGGGGTTACTGGTGTACTAGCGGGCAAACTGGCGCTATCTGGGAGGGGCGCTAACACTATTGGAAGTCGCCAGCGACACTGATACAGTGATCAGTAAAAATCTGTTCACTGATCAATGACACTGGTGACGGCAGTGAAGGGGTTAACGGGGGGGGGGGCGCAATCAGGGGGTTAAATGTGTCCTAGAGTGTTCTGTCTGTGTAGTGCTTTTGTGCTCAGTTTTCTGTCTTCTCTCTCTGAGACAAATGTGTCCAGGCAGAGAAGAATGACATCATATCCTGTCCTGTGTAAATGTCAACACAGGACAGGATAGGACAGTGACCAATCATCTGATTTCAGCCGGACATCACTGGCTGCAACAGGATGATTGATCCCTCCGGGATCAAATCGTGACACCCGCGGGTCGGCGGGAGCGCACGCGTGCGCGCCCCCTGCCCCGCGAGAACCTTGGGAGCGCGGAGCACGTTTTAAAACGTGCTTTTGCGCAGCCGTGCCACCCTGCCACTGTTTTAATGCAGTGGCTGGGCGGCAAGAGGTTAAACTTTGAGTGTTGTCGCACTTTGAATGATAATTGCGCGGCCATGCAACACTGTACCCAAACAAAATTTTTATCATTTTTTTTTGTAGACAGCTTTCTTTTGGTGGTATTTAATCACCACTGGTGTTTTTTTTTTCTTTTGTCTTTTGCTAAACAAACTAAAAAAGACTGAAAATTTTGAAAAGAAAAAATTTTTTTTTTAGTTTCTGTTATAAAATTTTGTAAATATGTAATTTTTCTCTTTCACTGATGTGCACTAATGAGGCGGTACTGATAGGCGGTACTGATGGGCACTGATAGGTGGCACTGATGGGCATTGACAGGCGGCACTGATGGCAACTGAAAGGCAGCACTGATAGGTGACCCTGACTGGCACTAATAGGCGGTACTAATTGGAACTGTTAGGCAGCACTGATGGGCACTGATAGGCGACACTGGCACTGAAGGGCAGCTCTGATGGGCACTGATATATGGCATTGATGTGCACTGGTAGGCAATGATATGTGGCATTGATGTGCACTGGTATTTGGCATTGATGGGCATTGACAGGTGACACTGATGGGGCTACACTGAACATCAGGGCACTGATCATCAGTGCCCTGATGATCAGTGTAGATGTCTGTTCTGAGTAATGCTGATTACTGGCTCTCCTCACCAGCTGTCAGCAGGAGGAGAGGACTGCCGATAACGGGCATTTCCTATTTCCATGTGATCAGCCGTCATCGGCTCTTTACAGTGATCGGTGATCCGTTGTGTCCCAGGGCACCTCCGATAGCCGAGCACACGCAGAGTGGGAGGACGTCATATGACGTCCTCCCAGAACGAGAGGACCATCTCCCTTCCGTCATTGCCTTATATGGTGGGCAGGAGGTGGATAAAAGCTTTTTATTATGCGACTCTTTAATTGAAAAAATAAATGGAACAAATAGCCTTTTCCAGCTTGAACAGTGGTTATTTTAAAATAAGTTCTAATATAGATTCAAGGTAGTTTTTTATTTTTTTGTATAGTAACCATTAATAAACTCTGCATATTCACTAACACAACAGAGAGAAAAGGTAGTGTTAACAGTAAAGATTTACAAAAATAACAAAAAAAAAAAAAACCAGCTGAGTCCATGGTAAGGAAGCAGCTAATAAGAACTAACTTAAACATAAAAGATGTTAAAAAGGCTTAAATATGAAAGTTTTTTTAAGAAAGATCAGCTGCATTTAGTTTTTCTGACATCCACAGAATAAAACATTGAATATGATATACTAAAGGATTAAATTGTGTGAAGATTTACTTATCCTATTATGTGAAAAGCAAATTGCTGTTTACTTATTACATCTGCACACGATTGGAAGATTTAAATGAATATCCAGAGTTTGTGTGGGATTGCAGACCCCATATGCACTGCGGGACATAAAACAATTGCAACAACTACTGTTTTATACTCCAGAGCCTGGATGTTTGGGGGTTTTAAGTAATGCTGTGGTCACTGTTACTCAGATATTCCTTTAATGAACATTTGTTTTAAACTTTTTTTCAGCGCTGATTATAATCAGGTCTGCGACTAAAAAGCTGTTTGATTATTTTCATCTAATTTCCATGTATTTTGGTGTGCTGAAAACAAAATATTGAAAAAACTCCTAGACTACATGATTTGCCACAAAATGCAAAATTGTCTTCAAATTTATCAAATTTTTTTAATTTTTGGTCTTTTTTTATATTATGGGTTTTTAACCAAATTTAAAGTCCAAATTACTATTAATTCACATAAGTGCATTTAAGATATAAAATGCCAAAAAATCCTTAAAGGGGTTGTCCGAGTTATGTAAAAAACAATATAGCACTGTAAATCTGATGGTCAGCAATATATACATAAGCTAAGCAAGTTTTAGGGAAAACAAATTCTATTTCCTCATTTCCCTAGTTTTCTTCTGGCCCCTTGTTGTTATTTGCAGGTAAACAATCTCTGCCCCTCCCCCCCTGCAATGGGGGTGAATACAAGTGCTGTTCTGAGTGACATGTCTGACTACTGGGATACTCAGCAGCATGCTGTATGTGTAAGCCTCAGCCCTGAGTCTGTGCTTCTAATGGT